TGGAATGAAGTCTTGAAGTTGGCACCCGATAACTACAACCATTCTAAGATATGCCACCGTTTTCCACCAAGTTGTTCCAAAACACAAGACGTTTTGTATGTAGCTTTGTTTATGGGACTTATGGAGCCACCTAACAGGGAGGTCTTTTCAGGTCGTGGCGCGCTTTTCGGAAATGGTTTGTTGCTTGTTGTAGGGGTCCATACAAGGATCTCAAAAATGGGTTTCATTTTTGCTATGCGCTTCCGGGGAAGTCAATAAACTGAGTGAAAGAAAAAAAATTGTGACAAGAACGGGCATTTTAACTATTGATGGACTCTCGTTCCAAATGTAATTTTGTGCTATGCATAGTTTAATGAGGTGGCGTTACATTATGGCTTGAAAATAGTTCAAATGAAGTATCGTTCGTCGTCCACCATCCAGCAATCCTTCGAGTTATCCGCTGCGCCATCCGATCCGCCGACAGTGAGCGTGAGAGGACCGCAGACAAAGACAACACTGTTGCGTCGGTGCATGCCCAGTGTATTACTACATGACACTTACATTTTGACTTTATTTGAAACCATTTCCGAAGCCTAATTAAGGGCACCTCATAAGCTATGCTTGCTCGAAGTTACAATCAGAACGGAGCCCATTAAAGCTTGACCGCGCAATTCAAATTATGATGAATTATGCAGCTCAAATACTTATACAAGGTAGCAGGTAACCTATTAGTGAAGAAAAATCGGGGAAAAAAGTCCTAGGAAAGGCTCTCTATAGGACCCCATGCTGAACTGAAGTTGTACGTGCTCAAGGCGAAGAGAAGGAGCGGTTGCACGGGTTCTCACTTGTTGGTATCAGCTGTTTTCCCTTATCACCTCACTCTCACCACTCCACGTGGAGAGAAGCAGCAGCGAAACAACCGCACCATCCGGTAAACCATTACAAATGAATGGAGGGCGGTGCCAATGATTGTAGGCTGGGCCAATGAGAAGAATGACGGTATAGTGGGCTTCCTCATTCGTTTTTACGCCGCGAAAGTGGTGCCGTTGTTGCCTCTGCGGTCTTGACTCACCTGCTAACGAAGGGGGAGGAAAACCTCAACTTAACCGCGACGCTGCTTTCAAGATAGTTAAAATCGCCCACTTCTTGTCAAATTTTTCACTCAGTTTTTGACCTCCCCAAAAACGCATAGCAAAAATGAAACCCATTTTTGAAGATCCTTGCATGGACCCGCTTACACAGCACAAATCGTTTCAAAAAGCGCGCCCAATGGGGGGAGGGAATGGGGAACCTGCTAAAGACCTCCCATTAAGAGCGCCGGAAATCCTGTTTGGAAACGCTCAAAATCGCGAACTTGCCGTAGTATCGCACGAAGTGCTCAATTCATGTAGCTGAGAAATCCTCCTTTTCTACGTTATCCTTGAAATTTGCGAATGTTGGGGAAAACACGCTAGCCACATTGGCCCATTGTGCTCGTATGGTCCTAACTGGACCACTGCGCGAGATTTATCGAATTGAGAAGGCGATATCGTTTAAAAGTGACGTCGACTGATACCTATTTATTTCCAGAAAAAATGGGACCGTAATGACACCATCACTACACAACTACATAGTCCGTAATCACTTCATTAGATACAGTGTGTCATTTCATCTCTGAAAGGCTTGACTTTCAACGATTGCCCTCTGGTTACAGTAATATCGAGACTCGCTCGCTAACAAGTGTCCTCAGGTACTTCGATGGAAAGCGTGTATGCGACTTTTTCGTTTCAGTTTTAGGACATCATCTCATAGAACTCGACGAGCTGAGTCTAACAGCGTAAGTTTCTATATAAGAAAAGTTTACAGAAACGGTTATAGCAAAAAAAAACGAAAAAAAACGCGGATTGGCGTTTTTTTTTGCTTTTTTCGAACAATTAAAAAAAATGAAGCGAGTGTCCGTACGTTGTTTTACACTTGCCCTCCTAAATGTCTGTTACCTGTTTTCCTCGAATAGCTACAACTGTAAAGAAGCAATGTAAATCAAGATGTTATCTTTGTTGATCCTAACTGTTCAACGCTGATCAGCGATGAAGCCAACTAATCCATTGCGTCACCAAAATGATCACTGAATCATGCTGTTTCCGAATATGTCGGTAGTTCAGTCTTTGAAACACTTTGATCCAAGATCATGGCCCAAGTGGAGGGTTTACAGCATGGCCATATCCGCAGATAGCACCTTAGGTGACTCAAGACTCGAACGTGGTTTTCCCTTAAAATCAGCTAGAAATATTGAGAAATTTAGAAGATTTGTACACATTTGGATTGCTAATGAGCACGGCTATCTACTGGTCTTATTTTGAGATCATTGCAACCACTACTACCCGTCGCGAACCGTCGATTTTGCAAAAATTAGGGACTTGGGAACAGTTTTTAAAATGGTTGCAGGGGGGGGGGGCGATGTGTTCGTATTCTCGGCCTAAAAATGTTAATAGGGCGCCAAAGTGGGGAAATGGCGAAAGAATGGAGTGAAACGGTCAAATCCTGCGAAGAGAAAGCCTCCGTTCTCAATAACTTACAAACCAATTTTGGACGAGTTTCCCGTAGGCATCTTGCCAATAACCGCCACCGCAGTTACGGCTGCGTATCGATACTCATATATCCACGCAGCATCACAGCCACTCATACCAACCCCTTCGCTTCATAATTTGCTCAGCAAATGAATCGATCAGAGCGTCAGGAACGGTCGTCCATTTGTGGGCGGGCGAACGCGGTAGGCGTTCGGGTCGGTATGTTGTGGCTTGATAGGGCCCTAATAAGGGCCCTTAATAATCCCATAGTGTTTAGAGTTGGATGACGGCTAATTACAGTATTCATAAAATCGCTAAAGAGCAACATTATTAAGAAGCCGAAGATATCGAAAAGAAGGAATAAAAACAGATAAACAAAAATTTTTGCGAAAGTTTTTGGATTCGTTTGGATCTTTCGAATATTTTGCAATCAAATTTTTGGCGCCTCTCCTCATGTAATTGTACAGTCGTCATCCTTGCACTTGATAGTCAATGTCAGTGCGGCTGCGTGCGGCGCGGTCGCCCGCACCCGTACTGCACCAATCGTTGAACCAGGAAGTGACATTACTGTATTATATCCTTCGTGTTACTCGTTTTCTATCACTTTTTGTCGCATACGCGTTTCAACGAAAGGCTGAGAAGGCTTCAAACAGTGTGCACGCTCCTTCTCGCCGACACGCCCCTATCAAGTGCAAGGATGACGACTGTACATTCAGATTGTTATTTCTGTTCAAATATTCAGGCCCTGTTTCTTCAGCTCTACCCATGAATGGGCCTCTTCTAGGGTTAGTAGCAAAAGTCCACATGAGGTGAAAGCAACATGTGTGCTTCGTTGCGCTTTCCATGAAACATTTATTTTTCTTCTTTCTCAGTAGTTTATAGGACCAGCACGCATACCGCAGAGCGTACGCCTCCTTACAAAATCTTAACTAAGAATTTCCGAGAAATATAGGGAGGCAGCACTTCTTGGCTGTCATCCAAAACACCACAGGTGAGTGCCAGCGCATGATCAGCGGAGGCGCAATCCATCACAAGGAGACCTGTCTGGAAACTTTCTGTTTTCGCTCGTTCAGAAAAATATGCGAACAAAATAGAAAATATAATTTGGGATCAAATCACAATAGGAGAATTCATATATTGCAATATGGATTAAAAAAGCTGATCGTGCAAAGAAGATTATTCGCGAGAACGAAAACATACCTTCGAAATGCAGTTTCGTCGCGAGGCCTTCAGTTCATGTGGAGGTAATAATGCCGTTGAGCGAGGGGGCAGCGCGAAGCAAACCCGCTATGCTTCCATATTTTTTATATTGTGCGAAGTGGGCATATACCCCACTTTTCTATCCACAATAGAAACAGGAAATACAATTTCCTACAGGAAATATGCAGGGATTCGCTTCAAAAAGACAAGTTCGAGCACTACATCGAGAGAGGGTGCCGACATGACGCGGCATACCCGTCCACACGTGGAGATACGTATGCGTCAAGGAGGAAGAAAGTAGGGAAGGGGGGGGGAATGTCTTCGCAATTACTTCGTTGTTGCGCAATTCGTGGGGTTTCGAAAGGGTCGATCGTACAGACAGGGTACAGCACGTGATGTGTGGAAGGGTGATGTCAGTACGACCCCCCCCCTCTTCCCCAACACCTACCTACCATTCCCACATTTTCCAGTTTTTCACCCAAGAATCGTCGAGCGATGGGGGGAGGGTGCTACACGTGAAGCA